GTCAAAGGAAGAGGGAGGAGATGGGGGAGGGCAGAGCTGGTGATTTAATGCATGGACCTCTTTAAACTGTTTCAGTGGGGTATGAACACCTCTGACCCAACAGAACAGGGGAAAGGCTGTGTGTGCGTGCTGCAGATTCTGTGATGGTGAGTGCATGAGGCTTGTGGGGTGCATGGCCTGAGATCCCCGCCCTGGATGGCCGGCTGGAAGATGACAGTCAGGATTATCCTGGGGGCCATGGGCTTGTTTCAGCTGTTGAATAGGGACCTGCCCGGGGCTGCGTCATTGGTGAAGCCCTGAGGACACCAGGCCAGGCCTGCACAGCTATTGTGGACGAAAGGCTGGGCACCTGCCCTCTCTGCCTTCTCCCTGGGCACACCCCGTTCCAGAATGCCTGGGCCAGGACTACAGGGATGGGCTTTGTTTTGGTGTCAAAGCTATAAAAAGATTTCTGGGAAAAAACCAGAACATTTATTGGCAAGTTCCCATCATTCGGGGAAGACCTGACTGTGAAGGTAGCAAATGACATGGCTTTAAAATGACACATTTATAAAATGTCTCCAATACAAGACCCTACTGTCCAGAAGAGCTGGGCCTTCTGGGAGGGCCCGTGGCCAATGCAGCCAAATGCCGTTCTTCTCTGCCCTTTGTCACATCCAGATGTCTTGTGTGGGTTGACCAGCTGGCCTGGACAGGTGTCCCCAGTGACAGTGAGCAGGAAGCCAGGTGGACCCGTGAGCGTTAGGCATCCCTCCCCCAGTGCGGGGGTTGGGGAGGTTTACAAAGCTGCTCAGGGTCTGAGTTCCTGAGTCATCTCTGTGGCTCCTAGGGACCACCCCCCTCCCTGCACCGCAGCCCCGGCCCACCTGCAGGTGCCAGCTGGAGAGCTCCATGTTGGGGGGCAGGAGCCTTTCTCAGGTACTGAGGCTTGTCAGCATCCCGGGTACCATCTTGGAGCAGGAGTCTGAGCTGCATCTTTGTGGACTGGGGTGGGAAGCCTGAGGTCAGAGAGGTCAGTGGGCTCTCTGCTGGGGATGGCAGGAAGGCTCAGGGCCCCGGGGAGGGAGGCACAGGGAGCATGGAGCACCTCCAGGGGGCCCCAGAATGCACACAGCAACGCAGCTCCCCTGTGAGCCCTGTCTGCACCAGAGCATCCGAAAAAGGCCCTTAGGGCTTATTATGTGACGTGAAGTGACAGAGCACATAAATGCGTGTTCCAAACACAAAGCTACCTACACCAGGTCGAGAAATCAGGTTTCCAGTTCCTTGGAACCTGTGTGCTTCTCCCCATGGCTTCCCATCGCTCCCCCAGAATCAAGCACAGAGAGGGAAGACCACAGGAGGATCTGGGGACAGGATGACCGTCTTCTCACCCAGGGGAGGGGTCCTGGAAGGAACCAGCCCTGCCATGCCTGGATCTCGGGCTTTAGCCTCCAGGACCGTGAGGAAGAAATTCATGTTGCTCGAGCCGCCTGGTTTGTGGTGTTTTGTTTTGGGAGCCCCTCTGCAGACTCTGGCTTAGGGCGGAGTAGACCCCACCTCACCCTTAACTTGCAGGGTTCCTTGGGACAAGCTGCCACCTCTCTGGTTGTCCTTCAGCGACACGATGGGACAGATGTGCCCTAGGGAAGAACCACAGCAATTCTGTACAAGAGCAGCGGGGTCTGGTCAGTGGTTCTGAGACCCTGTCACCGGCTGGCCCCTCCCTCTCCATGGCCCGTAACTTCATGGGACATGGAAGGAACCACATGTGTGACAGGTGAAGATTAATGCAGAAGCTTCAGGAAGGAAAAGTGCTCAATAACATTTTTTTGAAAGGGTAAATAACTAACACAGCGGGTATAATTGCAGACCAATGGGGCAGAGACACCTTCTTCCTGAGAGCCGAGCTCCTGGGACAGAATAAGAGCCCGGGTCCTTGTCACTCAGGGGCAGAACAGACTCAGGATGGGGCTCAGGCACGAAGGTGGAAGGACCTAGGAGATTCTGGGCTCCCAGCTCCTCCTTTTCCTCTTCTCCTTGCCTGTTTTCTGATAGTGAGTTTTTCAATTCACAGGACGTGATTGGGGGACACCAGGATTGGGGGCTAGGGGGATGGCTTTCTGTCCCCAAGAGAGGGCTCCCGGGAGAAAATGGGGTGAGCCAGGGGACAGGAGCAGTCAGGAAGGGAGGGAGAGGGATGGATGTAGGGAGGGTGCAGAGGAGGGCAGGGATCTTGGCAGCTCCTTTAGCCGGAAATTAAAAGGTTTCCAACGACAAAGCTGCCAGAGGAGAAACGTGGGACCTGGGCTTCCTGGAACAATAATAGCATATCCTTCCCGCTTGTTTCCTGCATTCCGGGAATGGTGCCCAAGTGCCCGGCATCCTGTGGTCCACCCGTGACCCTCGGGGTAGATTCTGTTTTTATTGCTATTTTACAGATAAGGAAACTCAGAGCCCAGCGTGGTTAGGTAGCGTTCCTGAGGCCACACAGCCCGTTAGTGGTGGAGACGAGCTTCAACCCTGGTTTCTGTGATTCCAAATGCTTAGACAACCCCTGGATTGACTTGGGCACAAGAGAGGCATCAATGTCTCTTCGTGGAGAAAGGCTCCCCCTCCCCTCGGCGGGGTCTCAGGCACCGGGACCTCTGCCTCCCCAGGTGGCTGGATGCGGGCGAGGGCGGTACAGAGCTTGGCCGTCTCTAACCGCGGGGTGACCTGCGCTTGCCGAGGCTCCTGGGAGCGTAGGCTTGTCTGCTCACTCTAACCTGGTTCTAGACAGTTAACCGGGAGTCTCAGGGGGACAGTGGTCTCTGGCCTGCCCCCCAACCCTGGGCAGTCACCTCCCCCACTCTGTGACTCATGCTATCTTAGTTATGACAGCTCTCCTGTCCTCATCCTACCGGCGCACTGGGTAGGCTCCTGGGCACCAATCTGTCTGTGGGAGTCTCTGTGTAAAGGGGGGACCAGTGCCCTCGCAGAGGGGGCACCACCCCGCCCCAAGCTTGGCCAGCTGCGAGGGACGGCACCCCCGTTCACCAGCAACCATGCACCAACTCTGGCTCTAAATTTGTCCACTTGTGGCCCAGAGATAATCTTTATGGAGGAGGTCTGTGCCTTGGTACCCTGAAACCCACGGTGTCTCAGCCACCGGCGAACCTGCACCCCAATACCCATGTGAGCTCAGCCGCCGGCGAGCCTGCAGGTGACCAGCATCCTCTGGGCTGATTGGGGCTTGATGGGAAGACGTTAGCTTCTTTTTAGGACCCCCTGAGAAAGGGCTCTTGTTTGCCGTCATGTCGGCCTGGGGCATGCGTAACGTGGAGACTCGCAAAGACCTTCCATCGGACGTGTGTACATAGAGGCTGAAGAGCCAATTTCCAGACCCTTAACCTCCGCACAAACTCTTTCCTGAAGCTGATCTGCCTGCGAAGATTGGCTAAAGGGGTAAAGGGTTTCTGTATTTCTCTTTGACAGACACCATTCTCCCATTTCACTCTTAACCTCCATCCATCCCACATGTGGGTACGACCGGGGGTCTCTAGGACATGGGAAGGTCAACTCCTAATCTTGCATCCAGTTGGGAAGGCGAGTGGTGCTAATGCCGGGGAAGCACGCTCTTTTGTGGGTCAGGGATTTTAAGGTTTTGCTTCCAACTCAGGAGAAAGAGGGACTAGCTGGGTTTAATCTAATTCTTTGCCTTTTTAACTTATTTTTCTTTATGCTGGAGGCCTTGAAGATTGTCTTCCTCTTTGATAACTCAGAATTTTACTAATGTATGCCTGGAAAGTGGTTGTTCTGGGTTACTTTTCTCATGCTCCCTGTGGGCCCTTTGCGAGGCACACACTCAAGTCTCGTGTTTCTAGAATGTTCTCTTGGATTCTGCTTTGGAATGTTGGTTCTGTGGCGCTCTTTTCCCCTGAGGAATGCTGTGTGTGTTCTTTGCCTCTCCTTTCCATCTTAGGCCTTGTTTCGCTCACTTTCTTTCTTTCTTTCTTTTTTTTTTAAAGATTTTATTCATTTATCTGTCAGAGAGAGAGACAGAGAGCACAAGCAGGGGGAGCAGCAGGCAGAGGGAGACGGAGAAGCGGGCTCCCCGCCGAGCAAGGAGCCCGATGCAGGACTCCATCCCAGGACCCCAGGGTCAGGACCCTAGCAGAAGGCAGCCGCCCAACCCAATGAGCCACCCAGGTGTCCCTCGCCGACTTTCTTTGGCCAAATGTCTTTGTATTAAATTTGCTGTGAGTCTCTTCTCCCTTGGACCTCTCGCGCTCTTTTCTTCAGTTCCGGAATAATTCTGTCTCGTTCTTCCTTTTCTTTTCTGACTTCGATCAACACTTTCCCCTCTTCTCCCTGTTTTCATCCATTTCCGTCCTGGAGATGTGGATTTCTGATTCAAGGTGGGTTTAGGTGGGTTTTCACGTCCTCAGACGCTTGTTGGGCTGTAGTTGGTTCTGTTTGGGGTGTAGACGCGTGGTTTCCTTCTTGCGTTCCGGAGGAGGAGTGGACTTCTCTCTGTTCCTTTCCTGATGCTCTGGAGCGTTGTCTGCGGGTTTCAGCCCTCTTGTCTATTTTCTGCATGAGGTTTGCAGTGAGACCTCAGCCTTCCTGTCAGTCTGGGGTCTGTGGTCCTTCGGGGGAAGGTTTGCTTTGGGAGCAGGTGCTCTGGACCCTCTGTGGGCCACCTACGCCCACACCACTCCTTTCCTCACCCAAATCCCAGTGGACCTTCTTCCTTCCCATTAGGCTTTTGGGAGAACAGTTCCTCCCAATCCTGCTTTCCCTGATGCGCTGCTGGCCCTCGAGGATGGGCTTTCAGGGGTCCCCATGGCCACGCCTCCCGGGTCGCAGTCTGGCTGGGGGCTGTGGGCAGGGCCTGGAGCTGAGGCTTGCTGCCTTTCCTCTTCTTTCTGACAGACGTTTTTCAGTCCTTCTTATTTATTTTTTATTTTTAAATTTATTTTTATTTTAATTCCAGTATAGTTAACATTTTGCAGTCTTGGCCTGCTTTCTTCCCAAGTAACACCAAGGCTGTGGTTTTGCATAGAAATTTCATAGCTACTTCGGATTATTTGGAGAGGAGTGTTTGGGGCCCTGCGGTTGGAGATACTTAATTAACATCCTTCTTTCTTTCTTGGACAAACCACTCAGGCTGACAAATCAGTAAAACTATAGAAGGCTTGAACAGCACCATCGGTCAACGTGACCTAACTGACAGACACTTGGAAGGGCATATGGCTTCCTCATGAAGACAGACCACCTACCTGAGCGTGAAAACGAGCCTCAGTAAAATTAAAAAATTCACAGTCATACATGGTGTATTTTCTTCCTGCAATGAAATGAAATTAGAAACCAGTCAGCTACCTAGAAAATCCCCAAGATATCTGGAAATTAAGCAAAACTCTTTTAAAGAATCCATGGGTCAGAGAAAAAAAAATTCCAGGGCAATTCTTAGGAAATCTAAACATATCAGTTTGTGAGATGTGCCAAAGCGGTGTTGAGTGGAAATTCATAGCCTTGAGTGCTTATGTCAGAAAAGCATGATTCTGGGCGCCTGGGTGGCTCAGTCGGTGAAGCATCTGCCTTCGGCTCAGGTTATGATCCCAGAGTCCTGGGATCGAGCCCCGCATCGGGCTCCCTGCTTGGCCGGAGGTCTGCTTCTCCCTCTGCCCCTCCCCCTGGCTCATGTTCTCTCTCTCTCACTCACTCTCTCTCTCAAATAAATGAATAAAATCTTAAAAAATAAAAGGAAAGAAAAGAAGCACAATTCTAAATTAATGATATGATTTCATCTGAAGAAGCTAGGGGAAAAAAAGGCAAATTAAACTCCAAATAAGTCGAAGGCAGGAAATTCTAAAGACAAGAATAGGAATCAGCAATGGAAGGCAGTTGACCAATAGAGGAATTGGAAAAACCGAAAGTTGACTCTCCAAAGAGATTAACATTGGCAAAATCCTAACAAGACTGAGAAAAAAGGAAAGAAGGAATCTAAAAATTATTGGTATCAAGGGGAGAGGGGCCATCATAACAGATCCTGCAGACATTGGAAGGATAATAAGGAAATAGTACAAGCAAACTGATGCCAATAAGTTTGACAAGTTAGGTCCAAGAACAAATTCCTTGAAAAAAATAGTTTATGAAAACAGGCACAATCTGAATAGCCCATAGCTGTTCAAGAAATGGGATTCTTTTTTTTTTTTAAGTTTATTTATTTATTTAGTCATCTCTACGCCCAACATGGGGCTCGAACTCACGAACCCGAGATCAAGAGCCATAGGCTCTTCCCACTGAGCCAGCCGGGTGCCCCGAAATGGAATTCTTAATAAAAAACCTTCCTAGAAAGAAAAACTCTAAAGCCAGATGGCTTCATTGATAAATCCTGTCAAATACTTAGAGAAATAACAGCAGTCTTAAATTAATAAAATACAGGTGTAAGGAATGCTTTCTAACTCCTTTTACGGAGGACTGATACATAGCAAGGGAATTATACGAAAGTTATAGACCAATATCCCTCATAAACATAGATGCAAAAGTTGTTAAGGAAATATCAGCAGAGCGAGTCCAGCGTATAGAGCAAGGGTAACACATCATAACCAGGTGGGTTTGACCCCAGGAAGGCAAGGTTGGTTTTACATTAAAAAATGAGGGGCACCTGGGTGGCTCAGTTGTTGGGCGTCTGCCTTTGGCTCAGGTCATGATCCCAGGGTCCTGGAATCCAGCCCCGCATCAGGCTTCCTGCTCAGTGGAAAGCCTGCTTCTCCCTCTCCCACTCCCCCTGCTTGTGTTCCCTCTCTCGCTGTCTCTCTCTCTCTGTCAAATAAATAAATAAAATCTTTAAAAAAATGAATGGCAATCACCACATTTGCAGAATAAAGCAGAGAATTCACATAGGGGTGGAAAACAAAATTCAACAGCGATTCGTGATAAGGAGTCTCAGCAAGCTAGGAATAGGGCAGAACCTCCTTGCGGTGGGAGCACAAAGAGCCGTTTCCCGGGGGTGGGGGGCGAGAGGTCCTGCAAACGTGCCCGCCCTGTGGGCCTGTCCCTGGGGACACCTGCTCCTGGACACCGGCCAGGGGGCTGTGCCCACCCTTCCCTGGACTTTGCCTCTCGCTTTCTCTCACCCTTGCGGAGCACAGCGTCTACTTCCCGGCTGAACCTTCCCCTCGGGATGGGCTTGCCGGCCTTCAGGTTGGGGAACCGCATTAACAGGCCCATGTCTTGTTGCCGAGAAACCTGCACGTCAGCGCTTGGTTCAGCACCTGTCAAGGGCAAAGCCAGGACACACTAGGTTATGAGCTCCTGGGAGGAAGAGAAAGCACAGATACTTTTTGTATTTCCGGGAACCAGTGAATGATGCAAAGCGGTTGCTCCATGCGTGTTTGTTGGCAGAGTGCTGGATCTCTTGCTCTCAGACAGGGCTCTCTCTCTGCTTCGGAGCTGGGAAGACTGCGGCCCAGGCAGACTGGGCCTTAGTTCCTGGTACCCACCGTTCAGGGCAGGACTCTCTCCAGAAATAGGCTGATCATCTCATTTAGAGTCTTCCAGGATGGCTATTTTCAACATCCGCATTTCTCGTATTTAGCTCAGAGCAGAATATTCATGGCTGTTGCCGGTTACAGGGTGGACGCCTGTGCTTCCGATGGGGGGCCCTCTGTCTTCAGGGAGGCTATGACCACGCCGTCAGGACAGAGCCCGGGCGTGGTGGGCTGCCCTCCGTCCCCCAGCCCATCCTGCGGCTTCTCACTCCAAGCGGACCTCCTAGGTTGTCCAACATCAGCCCACCTGGGATCCATCGGGAAGGTGACCTGCTGCTTTTCCACAGCTGGGTGGGCATTTTGGTGAACGCTGGCTGGTTCAACCCTGCCCCAGAAGCCATAGATGGGGAGATGGAAACTGAGTCTGGGAAAGGCCAGGGCTTTGCCAACGTCACATCTCCAAGTCCATTGCCTTTAGGAAGTCCTGCCTGTGGGATGGGAAAAGCATGGTCTGAATTAGCTCTCAAGGGAAAGGCGTTTTATGACACTGCGCTTCTCAGGACATGGGCTCCCCGATGGCTCGGCGGATCTGGGAGGGTGGGCTCCAGGCTCCGCTGCATGAGCTGGAGGCTGTGCTTCCTCCCCTGTGGAAGGTAAGACTGTCCCCGGCTCACGGGGCGTTGGAACCCCGCAGGTGCTGTGGGCGTAGGGTGTCATGGGGATGGGAGTAGCTCCAGCCGTGGTCGCCGAGTGGGCACCTGAGGCTCTTCCTCCTGGACCAGACTGGTGATGCACGTTTCTATGGGACAGGCTGTTTTGTTTGTTGCTTTGCTTTTCTATGAACAGAGGAAGGTTGGAGGTAGGTGACAGCAATGCGTAAGGGGTCCCCACAGGGCGGGGGCAGGGCTCCTGCCTAGAGCCTTGTCTGCCCCCAGCTCGCCTACCATGATATGTTGCCCAGTGAGCCCAGAAGGGCACGCCTTCCCTTCCCGCCCAGGGTCACACCCACATACCTGGGTCACCCCAGTTCCTCGCCTGGCTCGCTTTGGTGTCTCCTGGGTTGGGGTCATCGATGTGGCCTCTGCATGGCTGCAGGAGGGAAGGTGGCTTCGGGGGCCGCCTGTGCGCTCTCAGGAAATGTGTTCGTTCCGGGGAAAGTCCCTGTGTTCTCAGGCGCCCCGCCTCTCTTGAGCTCGGGAAGTCCCTGGGCTGCAGGATGGGTGCGCACGGAGTCAGCCTGGACACGGCCTCCTCCCTCCTGACCTCTCCCAGCCCTACCGTCATCCTCCTAGAGCAGGTGGGCTCCAGCTGGGCAGGGTGTCCTGGTGGGGCCTCAGGGAGGGACAGGGAAGGGGCGTGGCCGGCGACGCGCCAGGACTGGCCTTTGTCCAGTGCTCTCTGAGCGTGCAGTGATACCCGGGCCCCCTAGCGGCCCCTCCAAGTGCGCTGTGGATGGGAGCAGACCCAGACTTCCTGGGTCCCTCTGGGCACCTCCCCCAGAGGCTCTGGCGTGGCCTCCACCCAGACCGCGGACGGGGCCCGACGTGGTGGCCCCAGAGGGGGGCGGGAGCGTGCGCCCAGACGCGCTTTGTGCAAAGTGCCCATGACAACCCTTAGCCAGGTGATGTGGCCAAACACATTCCACAGAAGGTAAGTGGTGCTGTCAGTTCTGATTCTGCCAAACAGACCCCAAGACCTGCCCTTAAGGCTGGAAATGAGTGGGTGTTCTCTCTGCTGGGCAGGTGGGCCTCCAGCCAGCCTGTGACCCCTCCTTCCCCTGGGGGCAAGGCTGGGTGTGCAAGTCCAGGGGTTGGTGGGGGTTGATGCCTTTTCCAGGGACTGAGACAAAATCCCGGCTGCGGAATCCCCAGCTCGGAGGCCTGGACAGTCACGCGGCGTGCAGAAATCTCCCACCCCTCAGATCAGTGCCCCGGAGACAGCCAGCCCCCCGGCATGTGCACCCCAAGGGCCCTGCGGTTAAGTTCTGGGGAGTTGTGGCAGCTGAGCCATCCTTCCCAGGAGCTCTGTGCCTGCTCTTTGGGCAATGTGTCCCGGAGACGGAGAGCCATCTGCTTGGTGGACGGAGGGTGAGGACACAGAGCCCGGGCTCCGTCAGGTGCACACAGGATATGGGGTAGCCTTCTGTGTGAAAGTCTGGGAAAGCTCATTCATTCATTCACTCAGCCAACACTTCTCAGGCCTGTTGGGAGGTGGGTACCAGCTGTGCTGAGGGAGAGACGTGGGGTCTTTATCCTGGGCTCCCAGGGAACCCCACATGTCGGCTGAGCCTGTTCCGTGGACGACCGGAAAGGTCTCCGTCAGGACAGAAGGGACCGTGTTCCCCCAGCTGGCATCTTGGGGGCTCACACCCCGCCCCTCGTCACCCTGGTTTCTGAGCTGCAGACCAGCATGGGCTGTAGGTAGTCGCAGTGGGCTGGGCTCAGCAAGAACTCTCCCAAGTCCCACCCTGGGGGAGCCCACCCCTGGGGTCTGGGGACAGGGTTCCAGCTCAGATGAGGAAATCTGATCTGTATCTCTTTGCATCAGCAAACAGAAGGTGGAAATTGGCCAAATTGTTCACATAATGAGAGCAAAAGCATCCTTATTCCCCAAGCTTTAAAAATATCCTGGAACATGAGGCTTTGGATGTCAGTAAACAGAGAGAAAGCTGTATGTTTAGCGCTGGCCTGGGGGCAGATGGCAATGGTCAGGGCCACACAGCGCAGGGAGGGGTCAGAGACCAGTGCAAGGGTACACAGCATGGGGGAGGGCCCAGGAGCGGGTCCAGGGGGCACAGAGTATGGGGAAGGGGTCAGGAATTGGTCCAGGGGGCACACAGTATGGGGGGAGGGGTCCATGCAGGGGGTCACACAGTGCAGCGTTGGGGTTGGGAGCTGGTTTAGGGGGCACATAGCTGAATGGGGAGCCTCTCTCCAGCCCAGGGCGCCGCTGGCCCTATTTGCCTGCTGCCCGGGACCCCTCGGGTGGGCTTTGGTTCCAGGCTCCTCTCCGTCCTGGCTCTGTGCTGAGTGTCGTGAAATAAGACATGACAAAGTCAGTTCAGACAGTGTCTCTGGGTCTGCAAAACCAAAGTAATCCGTGGACTGATGGGGTCACTGTGCGAGGAAGCGGGTCAGACTTGAACCGAATGGGCATTCCTGGGCCTTGGGCAGCCGTCGGAAGTCTGGAGAGGCAGCTGGGAGGGCTCGAAGCTCCTGGCCCTGCTGCTGGCGTCCAGGCCATCCTCGGCACGAGATCCCGGCTCCTGGGGCGCGGTGGGGCGTCTACACCAGCAACATCCCAGGAAGGGGGGTTCGGTGTGTGCATGAGTGGAAAGCGGGCGAGTCAGGACCCGGGGCTGGGTGGCAGGAGGGGGTCGTCCTCCCAGGGCTGGAGGGTGTGCTCAGGGCAGAGGAGCAGCAAAAGATCCCCAAGAGAGCCCTCAGGGGCCGGTCCGGAAGGTCGCTCTGTCCCAGGACTGGCCTTCGTGCCTCACGGGTTGTCCGTCTGTTCTCTGCAGAAGCTCCTGCCCCAGCCGGGGCCTCACCCCTCCTGCTCTGGAGCTGGTCACCGCGGATGGCGTCCCGTGGGCTGTCACTGGGCTCTCAGCACCCGGCCCCCTCCTCCGGGAGGCCCCTCCTCATCTAGACCCCTGAGCGGGGCCACCTGGGGCCGCATCCTCGAAGAAAGTCTCCTTCCTCTTGGTGAGGTTCTGTTGGATCTGATCCAGTCTCGGGGTTAAAGAGAATTGGTCACAACAACGTTCGCGGCCAAACAGACAAGCTCAGGAAAGTCTAACTTCCCAGGAAACTTGCTGAGGACTCGGAGGGCTCGTTTCCAAGTTCGGAGAAAGTTTTCCTTAAAGACTCCTGAACATGGGCGTCTCTGGAGGTCTGACCCCGACTGAGGCCCTGGCCTCCCTGTGCTCGTGGCTGCGCCCGTGAATGAGCGTGTGACCCAGTCCCTTCCTGTCAAGGAAACCAGACCTGGGTGTCATTGTTGCCCCGCATTCTTGGTCACCATTGCCGGCTGCTTCCCGACCCTGAGGAGGAACTTCCAAGGCTCTCGCTCCAGGCATTTCATGCACCTGCCCAGCGATGTGGTGCCCGCGGCCCACCGAGGCGGAAGGTGTAGGCCCTCACCGCCCTGCCCCCCGAAGTCAGACACGTTTCCATGTGGACTTGTTTTCAGCTGAGTGGATTACCTCCCCCCCACCAAGCCCACACCGTTTGTGGCCGCTAGGTTCTACAGGGGGGCCGGGCCCCATGTCCGACGTCCCTGCCTGCGAGAGGGACCTTCCTCATCCCCCGTGATGCCGGCCCTGAAAGCCTGGGAGCAGGGCTGCTGGCCTCCCAGGGACACGGTGGGCCCAGACGCTCACTTGCTCCCACTTCCACGTGCTGGGCGTTACTTGCTGACGTGTGTTTCCCCCAGACCCAGGATGGGGCCCAATGCAGAGACGAGGTTGCTGCAGATGTGGTTTGTCAGGACGAGGTGATCCTGGAGAAGGTGGCCCCTAATCCAGTGATGTGTCCTCACGAGAGGAGGGGAATCTGGACGCAGTTCCAGCTGCTCCGTCCGCGGTGCTCATTCACACAGCCTGGCAGACGGGCACCGAGTCCCGCTGCAGGCCTTATCCCCCTTGGCACACCACACAGGGCCACGCACGAGTTCCCAGCCCAACGCAGACTTGAGAAACAGCAGATCTATTTTCAGGACACGTGTGCGTGCGTGGTAGCTTTTTTCCCATTAGCTGTTCCTCTGTACGCATTTTTCCTGTCTCTGAAAATTCCCAGGACATCAAAGACCATGCACTAATCAGGGACTGGGGGCCAGCCAGGAACCTTGGAAGTTATACGTCAGCCGACCTTGGTCACAGGCTCGCCGCTGGTGGGAGAAGTGACCTGGACCCCCGCGTGTGCACAGCCCTGTTGGACACGTACGAGAACTGACTTTAGTTATTACAATCCCAATGAGCTGAACGCATGATTACACGATCGTGGCCTTGAACCTTTAGTGGAAACGCTAGTGACTCATAAAACCAGAAGAAACTCAAGACGTTCAGATTAGCTCGATTTCTTGAGAGAATGAACGTGAGCTTGCTTACATTCCACACTGAAGTGGCGACGCGGGGACATGGGGCAGCGAGGCTTCGTCAACGTGGTCAGAACGGGTTAACTGTCTACAGATGGGTTGTGATGTGGACTCTGAAATGAAGCCCTTCCTTGGGAATCCTTCCATAATTCTGTGTTTTCAGAGCACACCGACATTCTTCGAATCTTGTGTGAATGTTTTACTATCTCAGGCTTTCAGGAGCCTCTTTCTTCTTAGAAATCGAATTTCTCCCGGCCTTGCAGCTCGGGACCAGCTTCCAAAGGTTGACAGTGGCTCTGGGTCCCGCCTGCCCGTTTCTGAGGTGGAGCTCGCCCTCCACAGCACTGGGAATTTTTTGTAACGAGTTGGTGTATTTA